ATGTTTTAGTCTCCATACCATGTATATATGGTACCATGTTTTAGTCTCCATACCATGTATATATGGTACCATGTTTTAGTCTCCTTACTGTGTTATATATAGTACAATGTTTTAGTCTCCATACCATGTATATATAGTACAATGTTTTAGTCTCCATACCATGTATATATGGTACCATGTTTTAGTCTCCATCCCATGTATATATGGTACAATGTTTTAGTCTCCATACCATGTATATAATGGTACAATGTTTTAGTCTCCATACCATGTATATATTGTACCATGTTTTAGTCTCCATACCATGTATATATGGTACCATGTTTTAGTCTCCTTACTGTGTTATATATAGTACAATGTTTTAGTCTCCATCCCATGTATATATGGTACAATGTTTGAGTCTCCATACCATGTATATAATGGTACATTGTTTTAGTCTCCATACCATGTATATCTAGTACAATGTTTTAGTCTCCATCCCATGTATATATGGTACAATGTTTTAGACTCCATACCATGTATATATGGTACTATGTTTTAGTCTCCATACCATGTATATATGGTACAATGTTTTAGTCTCCTTACCGTGTTGGTGGCAGCTTGTCCGTAGTGTCTTTCACCGTCCCTCATTGCCACAATGGATGAAGTCTTTCTTGAACCCTCACTGACAAAAAGTGATGGGTGTTAATTGACATGCTGGTCAAATCATGCTAATATTCAAAGAACAAGTCCAGTGGATGTTAATTGTTCATACATATCTATAGAATATAATGCTTATGGATCAACTTAATGAACAGGTTTTCAGAAAGACTCCAGTGGGCAAGATCCAGCATTAGATGTGTGAATCTTATTAACAATTGAATGGCATCACAAAAGGTAGAAATTCCCTTTATAGCTTTTTGTTTGTTTGTGCTTCGTGTCCTTTTAACATCAATTAAGAAAGAGCTAGGTTTTGGTTGTGGAGGAAATCTGGAGTACCAGGAGAACAAGAGGCCCAGAAGTTGAACAAGAGGCCAAAGGGCCTTAGAGGTCACCTGGGTTATATCATAGGTACTGGTAGCTTTATTTCATTGTTTAGATGTGATGTGGAAATCAGTATGTAAACAAAGTGAAATACAATACTTGACATGTCATCAAAGGATAAGAATTTGAAAATATTGGTAAATGTTCCCTTTGGGGCCCCGCCCTAGCCCCTGCGGGATCGGGCAGGAATCAAAATTTTACACCGTAACACCCTCATTCACCAAAGATGATTCTGACTAAGTTTGAGTAATTTTCTAATGAAAATTGATAAAATATACCCAAAAGTGTTATTTCCCTATATAAACTGTAGTAAACTTTACCCCCTCCCCAAGGGAGAACGGATAGCTTGGGGGTCCTGAAATTTACAATTTAAATAAAGCCCCTGATGATCTTTCTTTTGATGCACTGAAATTGAATGTAGTACCTCGGAGTCTGGAGAAGAAGATTTTTGAAATATTGGTTAATTTTCCCTTTGGGGCCCCACCCTAGCCGCAGGGGTTGAGGTAGGAATCTCAATTTTACAATTTGAAACCATCTTTTTCCAAGGATAATTCTCACCAAGTAAAAATAATTTCCTACAGAAAGTTGTCAAAATATACCCAAAAATGTTATTTCCCTATATAAACTATAGTAAACTTTACCCCCTCCCCAAGGGAGAACGGATAGCTTGGGGGTCCTGAAATTTACAATTTAAATAAAGCCCCTGAGGATCTTTCTTTTGATGCACTGAAATTTAATGTAGTACCTCTGAGTCTGGAGAGGAAGATTTTTGAAATATTGGTTAATTTTCCCTTTGGGGCCCCGCCCTGGCCCTTTGGGTTTGGGTAGGAATCCCAATTTTACAATTTTGTAGCCTCATCTACCAGATTCTGACCAAGTTTGAAAAAAATCCATCCACTGGTTCTTGGAAAGAAGTTGAATAGGTCACTTGAGCAAAGCTCAGGTGACCTTAAAAGCTGAGAGGACCTGTATCACTCACCTGGAAATGTTAGCAAAATTGAAGTTGAAATAGCCAGATGTTGCTGATAGTGTATATGTATTACATGGTTAGTCAGGGGTTATATTTATATGCAATTAGACAAAATCCTGTCATTCCTACAGGAAAAGGAGGATTTTGAAGAATTTGCTATGTTTCCCCTATTTGGCCCTGCCCCTCTGCCCCAAGGGGGTTAGACCCACTGTTGATACAAAATTAAGTCCCCTTCACCAAAGGATGCTCTAGACCAAATATGGACAAAATCCTGTCATTTCTACAGAAAAAGAATTTTAAAGAAATTGCTAAATTACCCTAAGGCCTGCAGGGGGCTCAGACCCACCATTTATACAACATTTATTCCCCTTCCCCATAGTATGCTAATGTTCTGGTTAAATTACCTTCATCCCATTGGAAGAAAAGAATATTAAAGCTATTCCTCTATATCCCATATTTGGCCCCACCTCTCTGCCCCCAAGGGGGTCAGACCCACAGTTTATACAAAATTGGTTCACCTTCACTCAAGGGTGCCTCCTACCAAATTTGGACAAAAAACTGTCATTCCTACAGAAGAAGAAGGATTTTGAAGAACTGGCTATGTTTCCCCTATAATGCCCGCCCCTTTGTCCCAAGACACTCAATATTTATACAAAATTGAGTCCCATTTGCCCAAGGATGCTCCAGACCAAACTGGGCTGAAATCCCTTAATCCCTATGGTAGAAGAAAGATTTTAAAGATTTACATCTATTTCTCATATTGGGCCCGTCCCTCTGCCCCAAGGGGGGGTCACACCCAATGTTTATACAAAATTGAGTCCCCTTGACCCAAGATTGTTCCAGACTAAATAGGGATAAAATCCCTTAATCCTTACGGTAGAAGAAATGTTTTAAAGGTTTTACCCCTTAAACTGTTCTGTTATTCAGTAGAGTATTTGCATGTAATTCATGACTTATAACGAAGATACTTCAGACCGGAAAAAAATAATTTGTTTCAGGTAGCCCTACATATATTTTGTTTTGCCTTATCATTTTTAAATCATTTCAGCAATGCATTCCCTTTAACAATTTAGACAAATGTACCTAGGAGCTAGGGTGTGTTTATCACTGATAAATCCTTGGGATATAACAAACATTATGATGTACCTAGGAGCTAGGGTGTGTTTATCACTGATAAATTCTATGGATATAACAAACATTATGATGTACCTAGGACCTAGGATGTGTTTATCACTGATAAATCCTAGGGATATAACAAACATTATGATGGACCTAGGACCTAGGGTGTGTTTATCACTGATAAGTCCTAGCGATATAACACACATTATGATGTACCTAGGACCTAGGGTGTGTTTATCACTAATAAATCCTAGGGATATAACAAACATTATGTACCTAGGACCTAGGGTATGTTTATCACTGATAAATCCTAGGGATATAACAAACATTATGAGGTACCTAGGACCTAGGGTGTGTTTATCACTGATAAATTCTATGGATATAACAAATATTATGATGTACCTAGGACCTAGGGTGTGTTTATCACTGTTAAATCCTAGGGATATAACAATCATTATGTACCTAGGACCTAGGGTGTGTTTATCACTGATAAATCCTAGGGATATAACAAACATTATCATGTACCATGTATAGTCAGGATCATACACTAGTTTTCTTATTATCTGAAAATCAACAAGCAAAAAACGATAACATTCAAACTACTAGAGTGTGGAATCAATGTGTACAATCTACTAAAACATGAAAGAATTAACTTTGTCTCAAACTGATGTGGAGACTCAAAATATCATACATTTATTCATCGCACAACATTACATGATGTGCGAATGATAAAAATCTGGACGATTATTGCTTGCACAGACTTGTGCGGACAATGGACGAACGTCGTGCAATAACAATTTTGGTTGGTGTAAATTGAGAAATGGCTTACAATATATACGGTATGTGTTAACACGTATAAACTTGGTGTTTAAGTATATATTTCTATGTTCTAGCTACATATATAAGTTGATATTTCTATCTATCAGTGTTTTTTAAAAGACCACAATCCACACATGTAAAATAACACATATGGACACGTTTCTCTATACAGGTATACATAGCCACTTTGTACCTGCACCTGGACTGTGGTTTTCTCCACCCAGGGCACTTACATAACTCACCAAGGTGTGGAAATCCAGGTGAAGGGAAGCTATAGATTTAAATAACAAATACAGAACATCTAGTTTTGTTTTAATAACCGTCATACTGTATCACATATATATCAACTCTCTTTGTCAGGCACAGGCCAGGTAAAAGTCTGGTCCATCATCAAAATATAATTTACCTGTTCTGTTACCTTGGAGCCAAACCTATTCATGACAGCCTAACTGTCACTGTAATGCTGTGTACCAAACTTTGTAAAATTGAACATATCCCTTATTAATATGAAGAGAAATCTATATATACAGTGTTTCTTATTCCACACAAGGGTTCCGTTTCCGATTTTTTTCATTCCATAATATTGATAAACCAATTGTTCCAAATCGAACATTTGTGGATGATGTTTGGATGGTGTGTGCATGACGTATATATGCACGATGTGTGCACGCTATTTTTGGTGCGTTGTGCGGTCACACAACTTTATAGAATATTGACTTTTAATTAAAAATAATTTTAGTGAAATAAATACTCACTCATTCAGCACTATTTCCATGGGAACACCAGGCTATAATTTAAAAAAAAAGAGAATAATTTCATAAAATAAACTGCCCAAAATATTCCCCCCATTAAGTATTGTGCAGAACAGTTACACTGGTGTGAGTTGTCATGAATCATTCACCATCGTGAATATTTACAATCTACACTGATGTTCTCTCACACAGCAACCATTGTTCCCGCAAACTGGAGTTGTCCTTACCATATGTAACAGGTTTCCATGACATTGGCATCAAAACATGTTGGCAGATCCACATTGTATGTCCATGAAGAAGACAGAATTTGATGTCATTCACAGAAGATGTGGATGGACTTAAAAAAAGGCTCAATCAAATTTCAGACTACAGCTTTTACAGTTAATGCTCATATCATATGTTATTGTATTTTGAAAATTAAATTTGTGTGCTTATCGGACTAACAAAATTAATACAATAGGTATGAACCATTCACAGAAAGATACCTTAAATATATATAACAAAGGAATGGTTTTCTATTTTGGTCAGATTATGAGGTGAACAATCCAGTTGAGCACAAGTTAATTTATCATAACAGTAAATTTTGCCATGTATGACACCATCTATGACAAATATATTCATGATCAATGGGAGTTATCTCCTCATAACCTGAACAAACAAGATCAATGTGAGCGGAATTACACATTCGTGGTCAATGTTGGTATTACTAAAACTAGAACCTTGGCTTTGAAGTAGGAGTCTTGAACAAATAACTAATAAAAGTTCTTGCATTTTCGATGGAATGCCCTTATTTGGCAATGAAAAAGGGGCATAACTCTGTGGAATAGGGTTTAAATGTCACGATTTAAGAATTCATTAAAAGCATACAGGTAATGAAACAACCGAATAGTTTTAAAAAACATTGAAGAACATTTGTTTGAGTTATCGTGTAAACAAGGAAACATTAACGGCAAAAAGGAAGTAGTGTTGCATTTGCTACGTCAAGTGTGATACGCAAAAATGCGAAAAGTTGAAACTTGACAGAAAAACCAGTACTACTGTATTTGTTGAACATTACTGCTTCTAGCATTACCATACCAAATTTAAAAAGAATTGATTAAAAAAATAAAAAATTCTTGCATTTCTACACAATGCACTTATTTGGCAATGAAAGGAACATAGCCCCACAGTGAAAAAGGGACAAAACTCTGCCGAATAGCATTTAAATATCACAATTTAAGAAACAGATCCAATGCATTCAGGTAATAAAACATCCCACCAAGTTTGACAAAAACTGAAGAACAATTGTTTGAGTTATGGCATAAACAAGCAAAAGTAAATGGCAAAAAAAGATGAACTACGAAGATTCAAATTACTCTAATTGGCAAACTTACGGCAAATTCTGGGTATTTTTCTTTAAAACACTACTTATATTTAATTCATGAATCAAACTTTTATGAGCAAAATTTCTCGCTGTTTCAAAATATAAGTAAGGTTCGTTCGTTATTAAAACAGTTGACATTACAACTAATTAATCAAACTAAGTCAAAAATGTACCTGTACAAGATCAATGAAAATTCCCAAAGTTAGTACCCAACAAGGTCAAGGTCACACTGAACATTCATCAGTACCCAAGAAGGTCACACTGAACATTCATTTATACCCAACAAGGTCACAATGAACATTCATTAGTACCCAACAAGGTCAAGGTCACACTGAACATTCATCAGTACCCAAGAAGGTCACACTGAACATTCATTAGTACCCAACAAGGTCACACTGAACATCCATTAGTACCCAACAAGGTCACACTGAACATTCATTATTACCCAACAAGGTCAAGGTCACACTGAACATACATCAGTACCCAAGAAGGTCACACTGAACATTCATTAGTACCCAACAAGGTCACACTGAACATACATTAGTACCCAACAAGGTCTCACTGAACATACATTGGTACCCAACAAGGTCACACCAAACATACATTAGTACCCAACAAGGTCTCACTGAACATACATTAGTACCCAACAAGGTCACACTGAACATTCATTTGTACCCAACAAGGTCCCACTGAACATTCATTAGTACCCAACAAGTTCACACTGAACATATAGTTGTACCCAACAAGGTCACACTGCACATCCATTAGTACCCAACAAGGTCCCACTGAACATTCATTAGTATTCAACAAGTTCACACTGAACATATAGTAGTACCCAACAAGGTCACACTGAACATTCATTAGTACCCAACAAGGTCACACTGAAAATACATTAGTACCCAACAAGGGCACACTGAAAATACATTAGTACCCAACAAGGAAACACTGAACATTCATTAGTACCCAAAAAGGTCACACTGAACATACAGTAGTACCCAACAACGTCACAATGAACATTCATTAGTACTCAACAAGGTCACACTGAAAATACATTAGTACCCAACAAGGAAACACTGAACATTCATTAGTACCCAACAAGGTCACACTGAACATACAGTAGTACCCAACAAGGTCACAATGAACATTCATTAGTACCCAACAAGGTCACACTGAAAATACAGTAGTACCCAATAAGGTCACACTGAACATTCATTAGTACCCAACAAGGTCACACTGAACATTCATGAGTACCCAACAAGGTCACACTGAACATTCATTAGTACCCAAAAAGGTCACACTGAACATACAGTAGTACCCAACAAGGTCACACTGAACATTCATTAGTACCACACAAGGTCACACTGAACATACATTAGTACCCAACAAGGTCACACTGAACATACATTAGTACCCAACAAAGTCACACTGAACATTCATTATTACCTAACAAGGTCACAATGAACATAAAATTAGTGCCCAACAAGGTCAAGGTCTCACTGAACATACATTAGTGCCCAACAAGGCCAAGGTCACACTCAACATACATTAGTACCCAACAAAGTCACACTAAACATACATTATTACCTAACAAGGTCACAATGAACATAGAATTAGTGCCCAACAAGGTCAAGGTCTCACTGAACATACATTAGTGTCCAACAAGGTCAAGGTCACACTGAACATACATTAGTGCCCAACAAGGTCAAAGTCTCACTGAACATACATCAGTACCCAACAAAGTCAAGGTATCACTAAACATACATTAGTACCCAACAAGATCACGCTGAACATACATTAGTACCCAACAAGGTCAAGGTCACACTGAACATACATTAGTACCCAACAAGATCACACTGAACATACATTAGTACCCAACAAGGTGTCACTGAACATACATTAGTACCCAACAAGGTCTCACTGAACATACATTGGTACCCAACAAGGTCACACCAAACATACATTAGTACCCAACAAGGTCTCACTGAACATACATTAGTACCCAACAAGGTCACACCAAACATACATTAGTACCCAACAAGGTCACACCAAACATTCATTAGTACCCAACAAAGTCAAGGTCACACTGAACATTCATTAGTGCCCAACAAGGTCACACTGAAAATACATTAGTACCCAACAAAGTCAAGGTCACACTGAACATTCATTAGTGCCCAACAAGGTCATACTGAACAAACATGAGTACCCAACAAAGTCAAGGTCACACTGAACATTCATTAGTGCCCAACAAGGTCTCACTGAACATACATTAGTGCCCAACAAGGCCAAGGTCACACTCAACATACATTAGTGCCCAACAAGGTCAAGGTCTCACTGAACATACATTAGTGCCCAACAAGGTCAAGGTCACACTGAACATACATTAGTGCCCAACAAGGTCAAGGTCACACTGAACATACATTAGTGCCCAACAAGGTCAAGGTCTCACTGAACATACATCAGTACCCAACAAAGTCAAGGTATCACTAAACATACATTAGTACCCAACAAGATCACGCTGAACATACATTAGTACCCAACAAGGTCAAGGTCACACTGAACATACATTAGTACCCAACAAGGTCACACTGAACATTCATTAGTGCCCAACAAGGTCTCACTGAACATACATTAGTACCCAACGAGGTCACACTGAACTTACATTAGTACCCAACAAGGTCAAAGTCTCACTGAACATACATTAGTGCCCAACAAGGTCAAGGTCACACTGAACATACATTAGTCCCCAACGAGGTCACACTGAACTTACATTAAGGTCACACTGAACATACATTAGTCCCCAACAAGATCACACTGAACATACATTAGTACCCAACAAGGTCTCACTGACCATACATTAGTACCCAACAAGGTGTCACTGAACATACATTAGTAACCAACAAGGTCAAGGTCCCACTGACCATACAATAGTACCCAACAAGGTCAAGGTCATACTAAACATACATTAGTACCCAACAAGGTCACTATAAACATACATTTGTATCCAACAAGATCACACTAAATATACAATTGCACCCAATAAGTGTACCCCCATTAAAAGGAAAGAACATTGAGCTAAACATGTACAGTAGAGCTAATCGTCAACCCTAAAATATTCATAGTTAAAATGTAACTTAGTTAAATGTTGTCCTTACCTTCACAAGAGCAATCTTTGTATATTCAGCTCCTAAGTCTATTGCGATGACAGCTAAATTAAACCCCACTGTAAAAACAAATGTTGACAAAATGATTTGATATATAACAAGAGTCACAGAGGGCCTGCTGTGCCCGTCGGGAAAAGATTGTGTGACCTGTTAGTTGTTTGTTCATTTATATGACAAAACTTTATAGCACTCTGTTGTATTTACCAATTGGCAAAATATCATGACTCTAGGCTATGTAAAACTATTAAGATTCTGAATTTTTTGAAGAATTAAAGCCCATTGTAATCTTTGACCTTAGCCAATGCTTAAAGGGTTTTGGCCACAAGTTTTTACATTCCCTAAAAATAAGCGAAACCTGTAATATACTTAAATGAATACAGAATCATCCATCAACGGGTGTTCTGAAGTATCCCGTTACCTAGATATAGGTAATCAAAGGTGACCAATCCTCACTGGCAAGAATTTTAATGAGCCAACAGGTCACGTGGTACTTGTGACGTCAGAGTAGCACGTTTGGGTCACTGGTCCATATAACAAGTAATGTTACATATATCAACGTTTAACAATGAACGGTTTACCAAACAGGTACACTTAATACCCCATCATAACGTTACATATATCAACGTCTAACAGTGAAAGATTTACCAATTAAACATGTACACTTAATACCCCATCATAACCTTACATATATCAACGTCTAACAGTGAACGGTTTACCAAACATGTACACTTAATACCCCATCATAACGTTACATATATCAACGTCTAACAGTGAACGGTTTACCAAACATGTACACTTAATACCCCATCATAACCTTACATATATCAACGTCTAACAGTGAACGGTTTACCAAACATGTACACTTAATACCCCATCATAACCTTACATATATCAACGTCTAACAGTGAACGGTTTACCAAACATGTACACTTAATACCCCATCATAACCTTACATATATCAACGTCTAACAGTGAACGGTTTACCAAACATGTACACTTAATACCCCATCATAACCTTACATATATCAACGTCTAACAGTGAACGGTTTACCAAACATGTACACTTAATACCCCATCATAACCTTACATATATCAACGTCTAACAGTGAACGGTTTACCAAACATGTACACTTAATACCCCATCATAACCTTACATATATCAACGTCTAACAGTGAACGGTTTACCAAACATGTACACTTAATACCCCATCATAACCTTACATATATCAACGTCTAACAGTGAACGGTTTACCAAACATGTACACTTAATACCCCATCATAACCTTACATATATCAACGTCTAACAGTGAACGGTTTACCAAACATGTACACTTAATACCCCATCATAACCTTACATATATCAACGTCTAACAGTGAACGGTTTACCAAACATGTACACTTAATACCCCATCATAACCTTACATATATCAACGTCTAACAGTGAACGGTTTACCAAACATGTACACTTAATACCCCATCATAACCTTACATATATCAACGTCTAACAGTGAACGGTTTACCAAACATGTACACTTAATACCCCATCATAACCTTACATATATCAACGTCTAACAGTGAACGGTTTACCAAACATGTACACTTAATACCCCATCATAACCTTACATATATCAACGTCTAACAGTGAACGGTTTACCAAACATGTACACTTAATACCCCATCATAACGTTACATATATCAACGTCTAACAGTGAACGGTTTACCAAACATGTACACTTAATACCCCATCATAACCTTACATATATCAACGTCTAACAGTGAACGGTTTACCAAACATGTACACTTAATACCCCATCATAACGTTACATATATCAACGTCTAACAGTGAACGGTTTACCAAACATGTACACTTAATACCCCATCATAACCTTACATATATCAACGTCTAACAGTGAACGGTTTACCAAACATGTACACTTAATACCCCATCATAACCTTACATATATCAACGTCTAACAGTGAACGGTTTACCAAACATGTACACTTAATACCCCATCATAACCTTACATATATCAACGTCTAACAGTGAACGGTTTACCAAACATGTACACTTAATACCCCATCATAACCTTACATATATCAACGTCTAACAGTGAACGGTTTACCAAACATGTACACTTAATACCCCATCATAACCTTACATATATCAACGTCTAACAGTGAACGGTTTACCAAACATGTACACTTAATACCCCATCATAACCTTACATATATCAACGTCTAACAGTGAACGGTTTACCAAACATGTACACTTAATACCCCATCATAACCTTACATATATCAACGTCTAACAGTGAACGGTTTACCAAACATGTACACTTAATACCCCATCATAACCTTACATATATCAACGTCTAACAGTGAACGGTTTACCAAACATGTACACTTAATACCCCATCATAACCTTACATATATCAACGTCTAACAGTGAACGGTTTACCAAACATGTACACTTAATACCCCATCATAACGTTACATATATCAACGTCTAACAGTGAACGGTTTACCAAACATGTACACTTAATACCCCATCATAACCTTACATATATCAACGTCTAACAGTGAACGGTTTACCAAACATGTACACTTAATACCCCATCATAACGTTACATATATCAACGTCTAACAGTGAACGGTTTACCAAACATGTACACTTAATACCCCATCATAACCTTACATATATCAACGTCTAACAGTGAACGGTTTACCAAACATGTACACTTAATACCCCATCATAACGTTACATATATCAACGTCTAACAGTGAACGGTTTACCAAACATGTACACTTAATACCCCATCATAACGTTACATATATCAACGTCTAACAGTGAACGGTTTACCAAACATGTACACTTAATACCCCATCATAACGTTACATATATCAACGTCTAACAGTGAACGGTTTACCAAACATGTACACTTAATACCCCATCATAACGTTACATATATCAACGTCTAACAGTGAAAGGTTTACCAAACATGTACACTTAATACCCCATCATAACGTTACATATATCAACGTCTAACAGTGAAAGGTTTACCAAACATGTACACTTAATACCCCATCATAACGTTACATATATCAACGTCTAACAGTGAAAGGTTTACCAAACATGTACACTTAATACCCCATCATAACCTTACATATATCAACGTCTAACAGTGAAAGGTTTACCAAACATGTACACTTAATACCCCATCATAACCTTACATATATCAACGTCTAACAGTGAAAGGTTTACCAAACATGTACACTTAATACCCCATCATAACCTTACATATATCAACGTCTAACAGTGAAAGGTTTACCAAACATGTACACTTATTACCCCATCATAACCTTACATATATCAACATCTAACAGTGGAAGGTTTACCAAACATGTACACTTAATACCCCATCATAACCTTACATATATCAACGTCTAACAGTGAAAGGTTTACCAAACATGTACACTTAATACCCCATCATAACGTTACATATATCAACATCTAACAGTGAAAGGTTTACCAAACATGTACACTTATTACCCCATCATAACGTTACATATATCAACATCTAACAGTGAAAGGTTTACCAAACATGTACACTTTATACCCCATCATAACGTTACATATATCAACGTCTACAGTGAACGGTTTACCAAACATGTACACTTAATACCCCCATCATAACCTTACATATATCAACGTCTAACAGTGAAAGGTTTACCAAACATGTACACTTAATACCCCCATCATAACGTTACATATATCAACGTCTAACAGTGAAAGTTTATCAAACATGTACACTTAATACCCCATCATAACCTTACATATATCAACGTCTAACAGTGAACGGTTTACCAAACATGTACACTTAAAACCCTATCATAACGTTACATATATCAACGTCTAACAGTGAAAGTTTACCAAACATGTACACTTTATACCCCATCATAACGTTACATATATCAAGGTCTAACAGTGAAAGGTTTACCAATTAAACATGTACACTTAATACCACATCATAACCTTACATATATCAACGTCTAACAGTGAACAGTTTATCAAACATTTACACTTAATACCCCCATCATAACGTTACATATATCAACGTCTAACAGTGATGGTTTATCAAACATGTACACTTAATACCACATCATAACCTTACATATATCAACGTCTAACAGTGAAAGGTTTACCAAACATGTACACTTTATACCCCATCAGAACGTTACATATATCAACGTCTACAGTGAACGGTTTACCAAACATGTACACTTAATACCCCATCAGAACGTTACATATATCAACGTCTAGAGTGAACGGTTTACCAAACATGTACACTTATTACCCCATCATAACGTTACATATATCAACGTCTAACAGTGAACGGTTTATCAAACAAGTACACTTAATACCCCATCAGAACGTTACATATATCAATGTCTACAGTGAACGGTTTACCAATCATGTACACTTAATACCCCCATCATACCCTTACATATATCAACGTCTAACAGTGAACTGTTTATCAAACATTTACACTTAATACCCCCATCATAACGTTACATAAATCAACGTCTAACAGTGAATGGTTTACCAAACATGTACACTTATTACCCCATCATAACGCTACATATATCAACGTCTAACAGTGAAAGTTTACCAAACATGTACACTTTATACGCCATCAGAACGTTACATATATCAACGTTTAACAGTGAATGGTTTACCAAACATGTACACTTAATCCACCATCATAACCTTACATATATCAACATCTAACAGTGGAAGGTTTACCAAACATGTACACTTAATCCACCATCATAACCTTACATATATCAACATCTAACAGTGGAAGGTTTACCAAACATGTACACTTAATCCACCATCATAACCTTACATATATCAACGTCTAACAGTGAAAGTTTATCAAACATGTACACTTAATGCCACATCATAACCTTACATATATCAACATCTAACAGTGAAAGGTTTACCAAACATGTACACTTTATCCCCCATCAGAACGTTACATATATCAATGTCTACAGTGAACGGTTTACCAATCATGTACACTTAATACCCCCATCATAACGTTACATAAATCAACGTCTAACAGTGAATGGTTTACCAAACCTGTACACTTAATACCCCATCATAACCTTACATATATCAACATCTAACAGTGAACGGTTTATCAAACATGTACACTTAATACCCCATCAGAACGTTACATATATCAACGTTTAACAGTGAACGGTTTACCAAACAGCTTTTGCATCTTAATTTGATGACCGTAAATTATGAAATTATGAAAAATCGTGGCCAAAATCCTTTAAAGGTGACCTTTGACCAAAATACTATACAATACTTTGGTAGAATCTGATTTGAAATATAAAAATAAATTAACAAATGCTGTACGATTGCAAAACTTTGAAAGCAATAGCTCACACGATTTTTTATGAGGGCTAAAAAGAGAAAACAAGTTGGCTTCTAAAATGATCAATAAATTCAAATTTAAAAGGAGGAATGTGTTATGCTGATTGCAAGAAAAGACTGTAAAATATCACTGTCTAGTCCTAATTGAGATTCATACCTGTCAGTGATACGTAGAGGCACAAGACTGTAGTAATTACCAATAGCTGGCCTGGTCTGGACACTGCAACCATCCTCATTACTGAAAAATAAAGGTAAAATCAATAAATAAATCTTCTAAATTGTCTCGATCAAAGCAGGAAATCATATAATCACTGTGAACAAACATGCAAGGTTGATTACCGGTAACTGTTCCCCGGTAGAATGGTCTTTTCTGGTAGGACCTGGTGATGCTTTACCATCACATACTCACAAAAATGTCTCCTAAGAAACTGTGGAAATTAGAAGGATGATGTGACATCAAATACCTAATAGAAGTTACTGAGTGCCACTGGGGAAATGTCAACAAAAAACAAACACTACGCTTATTAGTGCGCTCCCCGAAGGGCTTACTTCTGGTTACTTTCTGTGATCCTGGTTTATGAGTTTTTACTAATAACTGACACTATCCTCCTTTGTTTTTAGCAGAAATACTTTCTTATAATAATAATAACAAGAGGCCCAAGAGGGCATGTATCGCTCACCTGAATATTTAAGCAGTCATAGCAAAATATTCTCATTAAATATTATATTGCACTAAAAATATTTCCCTCGCAAACTTTGTTTGCTTCATCTGTTGAAACTACCAGCAAAATATTTTTACAAGATTCTATGCTTTTTGGTTCTTCTTCAGAAGTTGCTTGACATATTTTTCCCTGTGATCTTGTAAGTAGGTCAATGTCGTTTTCCTTCTCAAATTGGTTAGCTCTATTCCAAAAAGCTACCAGCCAAATCTTATGAATCCCATTCCTTTTAGTTCTCAAGAACAAATCCATTAAAATGATGTTGACCTCTGTGACCTCTAAAGTAGGTTGAGGTCATTTTCATTCACAAACTTTGTTTGGCTCTTTCCCAGGAAGCCACTTGCCGAATATTAAGTTCTTCAGAGGAAGTCGTTTAAAGTGTTTGACATATCTGCCTCATGTGACCTTAAAAGGAGGTCAAGGCCTTTTCATTCTCCAACTTTGTTCGGCTCTTTCCTAAGAAGCTACAAGCCAAATATAGAGATTCTATACCTTTCAGTTCTTCAGAAGAAGTCGTTTGAAGTGTCTGACACATTTGACTTTTGTGACCTTGAAAGAAGTTCAAGGTCATTTTCATTCTCAAACTTTGTCGGGCTCTATCCAAGGAAGCCATCAATCAAAAATAAAGATTCTATACCTTTCAGTTCATCAGAAGAAGTCATTTGAAGCTTTTGACATATATGACCCATTTGACCTTGAAAGTAGGTCAAGGTCATTTTCATTCTCAAACTTTGTTCGGCTCTTTCCTAGGAAGCTACAAGCCAAATATAGAGATTCTATACCTTTCAGTTCTTCGGAAGAAGTCGTTTGAAGTGTTTGACACATTTGACCCCTTTAACCTTGAAAGTAGGACAAGGTAATTTTCATTCTCAAACTATGTTGGGCTTTATCCCAGGAAGCCACCAGCCAAATATAAAGATTCTATACCTTTCAGTTCTTCAGAAGAAGTCGTTTGAAGTGTTTGACACATTTGACCCCTGTGACCTTGAAAGTAGGTCAAGATCATTTTCATTCTCAAACTTTGTTGGGCTCTATCCCAGGAAGCCATCAGCAAAATATGAAGATTCTATACCTTTTAGTTCTTCAGAAGAAGTCGTTTGTAGTTTTTGACATATTTGACCCCTGTGACCTTGAAAACAGGCCAAGGTAATTTTCGTTCTCAAACTTTGTAGGGCTCCTACCAACGAAGCTTTCAGCTTAATATCATGACTCTAGGCCTGTCCGTTCTTCAGACGAAGTTGTTTAAAGGAAAAGTAGACGGACGAGGATGGACGGATGCAGCACCATGACATAAGCTCACTTGCCCTTCGGGCAGGTGAGCTAATAAATGTTGGCAAAAATGCAAGTCTATTATTTTTTAAACATACAAAGTAGACACAATGTCTGCGACATAATTATTTCCTATAGATCTTTGTCTCCAACAGAATCTTTAGCACCACAAAGGATACAAATATATTTTTACTTTTATCATTTCAACACATTGGCCTCGAAAACTGACAGATCTCATGAACATGTACAGCATGTTCTATTTTATTTTGAGTTAAATAGAAGATACTTGTAGTTTAAAACAGTATGAATGCACTTTTTAAAAATGTAAGGAAGATTTTGTACCTCTTCTCCTTTAATGATATTAAACGTTTCAAAATAATTTTGGCATACATCTGTGACTTTGATAGATGACAGGTGCGACATCGCACGAAAAACTGCACAGTCATGATACGAGAAATGTGTGTGAACTGTTCCACGGAAGTTTACGTCGACACGCTCAGCTGAGCTTGAGTTAAACCAGCCAAATATCATGTTAAAAGTTTTAAAAAATCTCTTGAATCCAGATATAATATACGTATAATTACGCGTGGAAGATAAAGAACGAACGTGTATATTCAACACCGAAGCGGACAACGGACATACTAATAACCGGAATATACTGCACATTTATAATAAAACCAGTTATGTTGTTCTTTATAAAATGCACCTGCACACATTAATGTTTCAACGTTATGGATATATAATGAAACTAAATTACTTTAAGTACATAGATACGTATAATATATAGATAATATATGGACATATAATGAAACTAAACTAATTAATATATGCATATTAATTTGTATTGGTCGGTACTATCAAAACTTCTCAAAATGATCTCTTCCAATTAGCAAAAAACAACACGGACGTGGGCCGAAATCGAGTAAAGAAAACATTGTCACACGGCGACGATTATGTGTACACTAGACTAAATGCGTTAACACGGAAAAATAATATTGTTGTATACCCTGCAATGTAATTAAAATTACACCAATTTTGTTTCATTTCACTATTCTTATTTATTTCTAAAATTTAATTAAATATATGTTATAATATGTGTCGGTGTGAAGAAAATAATGTAATCCGAAAACAACACAAACTGATTTTAATGATATGAAAGACTAAGAAGACTTAATTTGTGGCTTAAAACAAATAAAAATGCAAAGAAAATACCAAACAATGTTTCGCCTTTAAAAATGGTTTTAGGGCTAAACAACCTGGCGCGAAACAAGATTTGGGGCGAAACAACCCGGAACCTTTATAACTGATCAGTTGACAATTTTATTGATTTAAAATTATTTTTGCAAAAAGTGATCCGATTTGGGTCCTGCCTCCTTAGTCCAAGTGCTCAAAATCTTATAAAATATCAAAACAACTTTTAGGAATCACCAAAATGTCTTATGCAAGTATACGCACTGAACCATACAAGATTTTTCATTTAGAGTCGTATTTGTAACAATGCAACCATACTCTTGGTACCGAAAGAACAGAGTACCAAAACGTCTCAGTTAACGCGTTAAAAATTCAGCCTGTTACAAAGGATTCATATCACTTCCTCATATGAACTGACTACTGACCAGAAATAGAAGAACCTAAACGAAGCTAACAAGCATTGTTTTCGACGTCCTTATCACAAAATAACTTGTTAGATACCCAACAATTTTCTTAACAAATTTGGCCAGGTACGATTCACCATTTAACAGAATGACATTGTAATACATTGTACATCAATGCAATATGGATCCAACCTGAGTTTCATTCTCATCTATGGTGTTATTAATCGTCATCATAAACAGCTGAGCACCATGCGAAACTAGACACGTGGATGTAGTCAGATGTCACGACGGGAAATGGTAGTTAACGACACTTCATAAATACTCACAAAGAAAAAGTTTTAAGCTTAAATTATACTTACACTTCTATTGTGCTGATAAATTGATGTAAATTACGGTATTCGTTTTCGCTGCAATGATACCCTGACAGAGTCTACAGTAAGCCGGTGTGGCGCAATGTGATTGGGAGAGGATATTAATTCCGAGTCTGCGCAATGGCGTTGCTACACGTAAACTTCCGGTGAGCAAGCGTCTGGTTGAACGAGACTAATGTTTATTGTAACAAACCTGGTCTCGTTCAACCAGACTCTTATTGCCTTCTGCGCAAGCTGGACTAAGACCACAATTAATTTTACTATATGTTTCATTGTAATATTTAATTTCATAACAAATTCCCAATATCCGATAGCCAACTTTCCATCTAACCTGGTCAAGAGCAACATCTTGGGAGTAAAATATCAAAATTTCAACATAGCATGTTGGCCTTTTTCTTGAGATAATCGTCTGCATGTGTCACCAATGTCAAAAATAAACTTCCGGGTCAGGGGTAGAGGT